TATTTATTTTCAAATTCTTCTTACCTCTCCTTCACCAAATCATCTATCTACACTCTCTTTTCAATTTTTTTTTCTATCTACTAAACATATATTCACTTCAATACAATATACATAGTTCAGACAAATATTATTATTAGTTTTAAATTTTTATATAAAGTAGTTTTAGATTGAAAAAATATATATAAAATTTAATATACCACATCTATATTTAACCATATATCATAATTATTATCCACAGAATTAAAAGGATCGTAAATATAATTTAAATAAAAAATAATAATATTATTTATTTGAATACCTCAACGGTAAGATAGCGTTGCACAAGAAATAGTGGAAAAGAACAAAAGTATTTAAACTTACATTTAAAGATGCCTTATTGATAACGGCTGACACAGCTCGAAGCTAAACTCACGCTGCCATTATAGACTGTGTTTCTATGTTCTGGTCCCGAAGCCGATATTGGTGGAACAAACGGTGAAAGAACATGTCAAAGAAACGGTGAATGAGCATGCATGGTTCATCGTAGAAATCGTAAAAAAGAAAGAAAAGAGAGCTTGTAGTTATTGGTGAAGACCCTGGTAATTTGTAAACCCGATCCAATCATCACCCTTCTGAAAATCGCTATCTAATCGCATTCACACCATCTCTGCTTTCAACTTTTCCAACTTTTATTTTTCACGAAAAACCAAGTCTCATTAGGTTAACCCTCCCGCGCACACGACACCATTTTAATGCTGTTTTCGCGCTCGTCCCCTTTTCTTCATCGGATTCCATCTTTCTCTGTGCGAACACTTTATTTCGTTCCATCTATGTATGTGTGCCCAGTTACTCCTTGCCAACTATCATCTAACACTCTTCACCGTGTTTTCCAAAACACGCTTTAATTTATCTTCTAATTCAATACTCAACCTCTGATTTAAATTGCTCAACGGCTATAATTTTTTTTTATATTTAATTATCTCAAATTTACTATTTATGCATTAATTTATATTAATTTCTTAACCTAATTGAAAATAAAAAAACTAATTTAATAAAATCAATTTTCAAAGACAGATTGTTTAAAGTAAATTTTTTTATACAACAAGTAAAACTAGATATGAAAACAATATATTATGACTTCATAATAATAATAATAATAATAACAAGGTGTGATCTGAAAAAAAAATCTAACCATTTGTTTATACCTGGTCTAAAATAAAATATTTTAGAATAAAAAAATTGTCTTTCTAATGGAATGAATGAAGTTGAGTAACAAGTTAATTAAATATATGAATTTGACATTTGTATTTGTACTCATCATATTGATAGCTAAGTTTTGATTTTTGTAATTATTGCTTTCTGTCACAATTTATTTGTTGTTTTGTTTCAGAATTATTTATTATTTTACAGTATGAAAAAGATTAGACAATTGTTACCACTCTGGTCAACCATCTATATAATGATATTTCAATCAAAATAGATTATTTCATTGTAGGAATGAATATAATTTTAATATGTTGTTTTCATAATATGTGTACATTTATATGAATTATGAATAAAGAGGATTACTTTATAACAATGCATGGTGTAACAAATTAGATTTGATGTACTCTTAGGATAAGCTCGATTAATGGAAGAAAAAATATTTATTATTTCAAAGTTAAAGATATTGTCAACTACAACAAAATTAATTAATACTATCTATGTGTATAAAATAAATTCATTTAATTTTCAGTAACACATCACTTAAAAACTGTAATTTTGATTATAAAACTTTTTAAAAATGATCCTATAAGGTGTCTAAGCTTTATTTACATAACTTAGTTACTGGTGTGTATCAATTAGCTATAATTACTAGGCTTACATTGCAACCCTAAAACATGCAGATGCTACAATAAGTGCAATTATACACCCTACAACATAATTAATGTAAGTATTGATAATTTTGAAAGACTGTTTAAACATAACCAAGGTCAAAATACTAAGCTATTTAGACAATGAAATCAATATTCAATTTAATTAATTAGTTAAAATGTGCTATGTTGTAAGTAATTTATGAAGAATATAATTTTTAAAGATTAATTTTGTTAAGATTACACACTAGTTTAATTTTTAACTAAAAATAAATTTAATTAAAATAATTTATAACCTGGTAAAATTTCAAACTACATACTTTTTTTAAGAGTAAAAGTGATTTAGTCATTATATGACTAGTTAAAAAAAATTAAGTTACTTTTTATTTTATTTGTTACAATTTAAACAAGATTTAATGATGTATACTTATTTTTATGTTTCATATAAGAAATTAAACATTCTCACTTGATATTTTCACCTTAATTAATTAGGGGATGAAACTATGGTTGAACAAGGTGATAGGGTATTTTTGCATGCATGTTTGTGCCCTAAAGCAATTAGGGTTTTACCTAAAGTGGATACATGCAGTGTAAAGAAGCTTTTGGAGGTCTACTATTAGGGGATTTAAAATCACAAAAAGTGATTCTATTTTGGAATCCCTTAATGATTCAAACTGATTATTGAAGAAAATGATAATCCTTTAAAAAAATAATTATGTAAGGTATATACCACAAAAGACATATATTTAGATATATAATTGAAAATATTGGTAGAATAAAAAAAAATTAATCTGATATACATAGCAGAAACATTTTGTCCAAACTTTCAGGCGTAAGAGAAGAACTAGTGTGAGGACATTTTCTCCAAATTGGCGATCAAGGAAACCTCAACAATAACAAATCTGTCGTCACATTGGAATCTTTTTGAATCCTCAGAACCTTAACAGTACCAAATCAATTAGTTTGATGCACCCAGTCATGGCAAATCTAAGAGACAGAGTCGTACCCAAAAACAAATAGTGACTAATCGATCAACTAGAATATTTCATGGCCCAATACTTTCTATCCCAAAGGATTTCTTGTCTCCCTTAATTCTTGTCCTCTTCTTCGATCTCGAACAAATTTGAGAAAAAAAAATTATTTTTTTTATATATTAAAAATAAAAATAGTATTCATCGTCTCTAGACTATCAGACTTTTTCTTGAATATCCATTTTCAATCAATCATATTTAACACCAAATTTTATGTGAATATACAACACTTGCAGCTCTTACACAAACCCTAATTTGAGGCATTGAAGCACACTATTTGACTATGTTCATTTGAATAGAGTTTTCAAAATGGTTTTAAGCTCTCCATGTACAAATCCAAAAACAAGTCTTCTACTTCTTCTAGGTCTAAATTTATTTATTTTTTTAATTAGTCTAAACAAAATTCTATACTCTTTCTAGAGACATGACAAATGACTAATGCTGTGGTGGGGTTTCGTTGCTAAATTGAGATATATGGACAAATTTTTAGTGACATCCATGAAACAACGTACATGTAGGACCATAATGTTTAACTCAAATGAACACCTATGTTGTAAATGTTCCATTTTAAAGTCTAATTTAAAAAAAAACATATATCTCAAAAATAATAATCAAATCTCTATTGTAAAAGTTCAAATCTATGTATGAAAGTTTAATTAGTGAAGGAAGTTCCTTATATGTGTAATATTTTAGGTTTAGTTAATCATGATCATGTATAAAGAGACTATTTTAGTTTTGTGCATAATTATAACATTTTATGGTTTCACTAATTAATATGTGTGTGTAATCATTAAGGAATGTATATCTAAAAAGTTTTTGTCTAGAACTAGCACGGGTTCCACTAAAGATAAAAGACCTCAAGAAAAACAATTATTAAAAGTTGAAAAAGGCAATACTTATTGAACTCATAAAAAGAATGGGATACACTTTTTGTTTGTAAGTGAAGGAAAAGAGACTTCAAAAGTGACTCAAAATACAAAATTTTAGGTCCATATAAAGCACTATGATAAAATACATTCAAAACTAACCAACTTTTGGTGCCCAAAAATAAGCCTAACTTTACATATAGTAGTTATTTTCTTATCCAATATTCAAACTACTCATGTCAATGTACATACAATTAATTTCAAATCATCATTTAAAACTAAATAATCAAGTTTAGTTTTCCCTCTTGTACATGATATGCACAATCAATTTACATTAATAATTTTGTAATGTTTCTTGGAGTCTCCTTGTTCCAACTACTAAGAGAATATGTTTTCAGACATGGTCGTATTGTTAAAGTTATAACACTTTTTTTCTTCACTTTTTATGTAATTGAAAATCCTTTTTCAATTCAAGATCGAATAAAAACTACATTTTTATGGAATTTAAATCACTTTTACTCAATTCTAACGCATAATAATTACATGTATGTTAATTAATCCACTCACTTTATTAACCGTTTAATCCTATCTTGCAAATTATTAAGTTTATTGAAATATGTTAATTACTTTACGTTTAAAATTTGTGTTACTTAATAATTTTGAATATCATAAATCAAATTGAAAAATTAAGATTATTAAAAAATAAGGTATTCGGATACAATTAAAATTTTCAATTTAACATATTTATTAAGGATACATAATTTTTAATCAATTAAATTATATAAAACTAAAATATTATATTTTAAAATAAAAAAATCAACATATTGTTGACATGAATTGATTAATCTTCATGGAAAAATTTGACATGTGGTTTTATAAATGATAATTTTGTATCATATTTATTGTATTTATAATGAGAGACCTTATTTAAAAAAAGAAGAAAAAAACAGTCCATTAAATGGTTATGCAAGAAAAAAATATAATAAAGAAGAGAAATAAATGTAATAGAGAAAGGCAAAGACAGAGAAAGAGAAAGAGAGAGAATGTGACAGAGTGGTGCCCCTAAAACCCCAAACTAAGCCCCCCAACCCTAGAATAAAAGCTCATCAATCCTTCCCTTCCCTCTCACCCACACTTACAAATTTCCCTCCTCCCTCTCTCTCTTTCTTTCTCTCTCTCTGCGTGTCTTCGAGCATGCCAAATTCTCCTTCACTCTCACACTCTCTTCCCTTTTAATTTTCCCTTCCTTTGTGATCTTCCCTCTCAATCAAATGGGCAAGTACATGAAGAAATCCAAAATCTCCGGCGACGTCGCTGCCCTCATCATGGAGGCGCCACCGCCCCACTCGAACCTCGGCGTCCGAACCCGCGCCAAAACCCTCGCCCTCCAAAACTCCCCCCAAATTCCCGACCCCTCTGCCTACCTCCAGCTCCGCAGCCGCCGCCTCCTCAAGCTCCCCCCATCCACCCCCGAAAAGCCCCGCCGCTGTGCCGCCTCCGATTCCAACACCATTTCCCCTGTCCCCCAACCTGAACTCCCCAAAACACCCTCGTCTAGCTTCGCTGAAAAGCTCGCGCCTTTGGAAGAAGACAACGTCGAATGCTCCTTAGGAGAAAATTTCCTAGACGTCGAAGGCAGAGACGAAAGGTTTACTCCTTTTGAATTCCCTTTCTTCAATTCCCCCCCTTTCTTTCTCTGTTTTCATTCATTTTATCTTTTTGTTGGGTTTTTTCATGTTTTTTATTTTATAAAACAATTCACCCTTTGCCTCTGTAATGTCACTCTGGTTCTTCTATTTGTGTTGTTTTTCTAATATTTTATTGGCGTTTTCTAGTTTTTTTCTCCGGACTCTTGCTGGTTTTTCTTGCTTCATGCTTATGTTGGTGTTGATTGTTTCGGGGTTAAGTGTGTTTTTCTCTTAGAAAAGTATTTCAAAGTTTGATTTTAGTCAATTTTTGAGATTTTAAACATGTTTATAAATTTTGAGGGGTAAAACCATTTTTTTTACAAGAATTAAAACTAACATTTTAAAATGTTTTGAGAGATTATTTTATCCAATTTTTATCTGTTGCATGCAAGTGTTGCCTTGATTTTATGACTTTTCACGGGTGTGTTTATATATTTTCTATTTTTTGGTATTTTTTAATTTTTGTGTTCCACCCAAGTGTGTTTTTTAGTTTCTGAATTTCTTCTGATTATGCGTTTTCTGAATTCTGTTGTTGCTAAAATTGCTGTATTTTTAGTGGAGCGGGAACCATGTGAGTTTGTTGAAGGAGAGTGTTTCAGAGTTGTTTTATTATTATGATATATGAAAAATGTTGAGTAAAAAAATATGATATTCTCTCTTGAAACTTGCCGTTCTTTTGATTCTCATGCTTTTTCTATTGTTGTTGTCATTATTGACCGCTGTTGTAGAACCTCGTGAGATCTTAGTCGCCTAACTTTTGGTTATTATGTGTTTTAAATTCATGTGATTATTTTGATTTCTCACTCTGTCAAATCTAGGTACTGAGATAAAGCTCTGGTTGTACAACGGGTTGCTCAGATTAATGTGTATGACTTGTGATAGGTTCTGCAACATGCATGCCCTCAGGATAGTTACTGCAACTTGTATTTATATGCAGTATTAATGTGTGCATGTCACTCTTTAACTGTTACAACTATCTTGCATAAAATAATTGGTGTATTTTCAGTTTTTTTTGCATGTAAATAGAACCAACTAAATGGAAAATAAATTTTGTAACTTGATTTAAAAAGGAAAAACTTCTCTAGCTCCAAATTGTGTGTGTTGTGATGTACATTAATTGCCTCTGCAGATCCAAGCTGTTGACAAATTGTGATTTGACAATCTTCATGCAGTTATAATTCGACGCCATTTGTTGTTTCTAGTTTTTTTTTTCTCAACATTTTGATGAACTTTAAAAGCTTAGTAATTGTACAAGTTTCTGTCATGATCCAAAATGCATTTAAGTTTGATTGTCTTTGTTTTACTTTTGATCTGCAAGAACCTGCATGAAGCTGAAGCTTTGCCCTCTGTAAATGGTCAAGTTGAAAAAAAAATTGGACTTTAGTAATCGGAGCAGCCGTAACTCTTATGACTCGTGTTAGCAATGATGTGTCATTTACATGGGGCCTGGTAGCAGATTGATGTTTTTTGGATTCCTATTTGGGTTTGCGGTGAAATGAGGAAGATTTGGCCGTCTCTTTCTTTGTATTTTTTTAGTGCATGAGCCCACTGAGTCAGAACTTGTCCCAATAAATGCCAGTTACTTTTTTATAGTAGCAAATTTTGTCTCTAGTTCCATTCTGAGCTGTGGGAGATTGTGGGTGAAAAAATTATCTGTTTTTTCTCTCACTTAATTTCTTGTCAGTGGTTAGCATGCAATTTCTGGTGTAGAAACTTTTGATTCCAAGTCAGCATTTGTATATTTGGTTTTTCCATAAGCTTATCTTTATAACAATTTATTATGTTTTAACAGAAGCACCAGGGAAAGCACACCTTGTAGTTTAATAAGGGACCCAAATGTCATTCATACCCCTGGTTCAACCACAAGGCAAAAGACGCGTCAAACAAAGAAAGAACACATTCGAAGCAGCACCCCATCGGATAGTGAACTGGACGAGTTCTTTGCTCATATAGAGAAGCAGCAACAAAAAATGTTCATGGAGAAGTATATGTTCTTATCCCACAAGTCCCTTTTTTTTCACTTATGGTTTTATTTTGATTTCTTCTGGATTTATTAATGTGCTTACGTCTATATTGTGTGTATTTTGCAGGTACAATTTCGACTTTGTCAATGAAGTACCTCTGCCTGGACGGTACGAATGGGTCCCAGTACTCCACTAGAATGATAAGCTCCAGTGTGATTTGGTGATAATATGGATTTCAAGGGTATCAGACGTGTTTTTAACCACTAGAAACTTGGCACTAACCATTTACTTTGCTCGAGGATCTGTTTAGGAATGTCTTATATCTGATTAGTTTAGAGTTTTCATGTCTTTCTGATTTGTAGGGTGAGGGGGGTATATGTTATGGTATAATCTAGTTTCTAGCTCTTCTTTAATGTTTAATTTCATTTCCCATTATGTTTATAATTCAGTGGCGGTTCAGACATTATGTTAATTTAGAAAGTACTTATCAATCTAAGCTTCTCAAGTTTTACAAACCTTTGGGACCATCTATTTTATTTGTTCCATGTCCCCACAAACATGGTTTCATTTCAACCAGTAAAAAGATACCTACACCACACTACGATATAAAATAAAATTATACTGAAATTTAATATTCAAATACCTTTTGTTTTTTAAACAAACATTAATATAATAAATGGCTTTACAAAAAAAATAAAACAGAAAAGAGCATTATTAAGGTAATTATATATTTTGGTAGTGTTATAATAAACTGTTTTTCGTACTTAATAGCAATTATTATATTCATAGTAAGAAAATAAAATACAATTTTCCCAGATTGAAGTTCCTCTACTCATTCTCTTACTTTCTAAATGTTTATGTTATTATTTGTAAGGAAATTGAAATAAATTAAAATTACATTATACTTTCATGATTTTCAGAAACCAACATACTCTGAATTTTTTCTTAAACTTTTCTTACAAAGACATGTAAAGTATTTATAGTCTAGGGTGTACGTTCTGTAAATTCTTTCAAAAGAATCACTTTTTTTAAATAATATAATATTTTTTTAGTTTTCCATGTGTTTATTTTAACATTTTAAATGATAAAATATCATTTTGAACAATATCTCATAAAATAATTGTTTACTTATAAGAAAGAGAATGTCTTTTATAATAGTAAAAAAAATATATAGCTTTTAATTTTTTTTAAATACTTAAAAAATAGTTACTGAATTATTAACATTGGAATAACTTTTCTTAACCAGAAAAAATTCACTGAAACGTTTATTATTTTTTTGTTGAAGTTTTGATATTTTGTTGTTATGAATGTGGCATATACGTTTTATTTTGAGAATATCCATGGATGTCACATCGTTCTCACGTACCAAAGAAATGTTAACAACACTGTCACAATCCATGTCACTCTCTTCCTAACTATTTGAAACCTCACTATGCCCCCATTATCAAAGTCACCCACGTAATTTTGTAGGTGCACGTGAGATTACATCTATTCTATTCATGATAACGTGAAACTATTAATATTTTTTTTCTTGTTAAATGTTTTAGGATTTAATGTTGATAAATTAATTTTGTATACTTGTTTTTTTCACTGCATATCTATATATATCTTATTATTATTATTATTAATCTTATTATTATACATGATAGATTGTAACTAGATGGCAGTGTAAATGTATTAAATTAAACTAATGAATTATATCAAATTAAGTTTGCTTATGATGTAAATTAATCAATTATATAATTTTTTTTAAACATACATTCAGGCATTGATTTATAAAATAATAGTTTGGATTTCTAAATATTTTCAAATTCTCATTATTTTTTTTAAAGGTTTTTTATTTTTTATTTTTCAATTTTTCTTTTATCTTCCCCCTAATATATCTTTCTTTTCTAATAAGGTAATGTCTTCAAAAAAGAAAAACGGGATCAACTCGTCATAATAAGAACGGTTTACGCATCTCAAGATATAAATATTTTTAATATATCTTTAATTTTATAAATATTTTTCAAATATTTATTCATTGATTAATATTTTAAAAAATTATTATATTTACGAATTAAAATATTCAATTATAATAAATAATTTAAATATAATATATTAATATTTATAAGTTAAATTATAATATTACAATATATTTTTATATATTTCAATAATATAATATAAAAATATAATATTTAAAATAATAATTATTTTAATTTTAATTTTAATAAATAACATATTTTTTTAAAATGAATCAACTCACTTGATGGCATCTTTAATATGTTGGATTGAGTAACCATTAGTATATTAATGAATTAAAAACTTACCACCCAAAAATTTCTTAAACCTAATCCACTTTGTTTAGTAACTTATGACCCAATCTAAATCAAATATATTGAGTTGAATTTTATTTATAATTGAGTTAAATTCAACTCAACCCCATCTTATTAAATCCAACTCAAAATTAAAGTTCTAGCAAGCAATAAGGATAAAAGACTTTATATGTTCAATCTAAAATTTAATTCAATCTAATTCGATTAAATTTATTAAATAATATCAATATTGATAATTTTAGTAATATAATTATTATTTAAAAATATTAAATTATTTAAATATTAATTAATATAGTCTATTTAAAAAATTAAAGAATGAAATTACAAATTTTTATAATTTTTTTAAAAATATATACGAAATTGAATCAATATGAATTAGGTTGAATTGAGTTTAATAAAAAAAATCTAAAAATCCAAACAAACGTAACATAATATTTTTAATTAGATTGGAGGATGAATTTAACCAAATCTTACTTAACCCCTGTGCATCTCATTGGATAAGTGAGTATTTTAGGGAAGATTTTTCTTTCTATTATATTTATAAACTGTACAAGTTATCTGTGGACAAAGTAGGTTTTATGGATTGTCGAAGGAAAGATTCAAGAAATAAATTATATTATGCTAAAAATTTTGTACTATAAATAGAATTACATTTATTTATATTATGATCTAGACGAACTTAGATTAAATTAACTCGTAAATTTATTTGACGATAATTTTATATAATAATAATATTTTTTAAAATATTATTATTATTATTATTATTATTATTATATATATATATATATATATATATATATAAATTTATTTGAAAATAGATTTATTTGTTTTAATAATAAATATAAGAGAAAATATTTAATATCTACTTATTTAATGATCTAATTATTAAATAGTAATTTTTAAATTTTTTTGGATTAGGTGATATTTCTTATAATTTATATATTAAATTATTATATTTAAAATAAATTTTAATTTCTTTATAAATTTCTAAAATATACTTTAAATTTTTATTTAAATATTTTTAATTAATTTTTTATACGTTAATATTTATTTTAATTTTAAATATAAAAAATTGACTCATTATAGACTAAAAAAATTATAATCCTTTTAATATATATATATATATATATATATATATATATATTATATATATATTATAACTAAATCATCAATTTTTTATCATTGAACTGACAGCTATTTTTAGTCTCTACCTGAAAAATAAAATAAAACATTTAGTTATGGAACATCCTTTCCTTTTAGGACCAAAAAGTTGGACTTAATTTGATTAAGTACACACCAATAACATTTGGTAACACATTACTATTGTGATGATTTAAATTTATACAGAGAGATATATAGAAAAAGATGGTGAAGGAATTTCCATAATCTATATAAAAAAATTCCACACATGTTGGAATGTTATAAATAAAAACTTTTTTGGAATATTTGATTTTTAATGCATAAGTTAATTTTGGTTTACAAAAAGAGTTTTGTAAGTTTTCTTAAATTTGTCTTATTTTAAAAATATTTATAAAATAAATTATCCAAATAAGTCTTGATTGTAATCATGAAAAGCTACTTCAGGTGCTTTGTGATAGCTGATCTCTCCAATGGGTTAAGAAAGCTTGCTTGGGTTGAATTTTAATTTAATTTATTATACATAATTGAAGAACACCTGTAATTTGATTGAAAATTAACACCAGCACATAAAAACTGTATCTAGGTTTTCTCCCATTGTCTTAACTTCATTTCTTGTATTCAAACTATTCTCAATGTGTCTCTACTTATGAAAGTTGTTTGTGCAACCACTACATGTCAACAAGTGCCAAATATTTTTATGAGAGAGTTAGAACAGCATCGTCTAATAGGTGTTGGGTGTTAGAAAGCTTGTTTGAATGAAGTCATATACTTACTGAAAAAGGGCTGAAGCATTTTGTTATCAGAAGAGGTCTCATACATTCCGATCATTGTTTTCTATTTTTCTGTATCTGAGGAATAAGTCTTCCCCGACCCTTTTAGATCATATATTCAATATATTACTGATAATTTTATACATATATTGATATAAATTTCCCGCACATGAATTATTTAAAATAAAAAAAATATTTATAAGATTTTTTTGCCATCCTCTTCTTCAAGTTATATATGTTGCTTTGGGATGTTACAGGATTTAACGGAGAGAGCTGCCAGAAAATTATTTTTTTATAAAATTTTGGACAAAAATATGGGGGTGACACAACACCCTGGACCACACTGTTTCCTCTGCCACTGACAGTTACCTTAAACACAGTCCATCCACAGATTTGTTTACACAGGCAGTGAATTTCCCAAGTTACATCATTCACCCATACAGTCATAAATATATACCAATTAACATGGGTGAAGGATATTGGTATTTATATTTGGCTATATATTAGAACCCATGAGACAAGCAAGGCAGATACTAAAACATTGACAGTATAGTAACAAGGATAATATAAGCAATGTCTTAATAGGTAAATTTATAAAATTACGCAAAGCTAAGTAGAATAGAATATAGAAATTTTGAACTAATCAACATAGGATACTGAAATGGATATATGCAAAGTTAACAAAATCGTAAATATTAAATTTTCAAACAAAAAATAACAAAAAACACATTAATCAAATATAGAAACTGAAGGCCTGTGAACAGTGTACAGTGCAATGATATTGCCCCAGCTTTAGGGATATCAGATATAATTTTTAACAATTTCTACAAAGCTCAATATAATTGAGGAATTTCCTGTAATGAATCAGTTGATCAGGGGAGCAAAACAAAATGTTATTTCATGTCGCAGTCAACTAAAATGGTAAACTTCAGTGATATTAATAGAAGTAAACTAGATAATCTGACCATGATAAGAATTTTCTTACTGTAAACTATTTGGAAGGCTTATCAGAAGGACCCTTTTCAATCACTTTGGTAGAGCTAGAAGATTCTTCAGCTTCAGCTTGCTTCTTCCGCAGTCTTTCTTGGAGAGCTCTAACTCTGTCCTCGGTTTTGCGAAGCTTTCTCCATCTATAGGTAGTCCAGAGAGCAAAGCCACCATATACAACAATGTACGAAGCCCAAACATAAGGGTACGTTTCTGCATGCTCTTTGACTTTTAGATATCGCTTTTCCAATGACTCTTTCAAGCCCATAGCAGTGTTGACTGCTTGACCTTCCTCGCTTTTCTGGATGGGTGGTGCGGAGCTTGTTGGTTGCTCGTTTTGTTTTGGCTGATTTTCCATGACTTCTGCTTGAATAGTTCCAGAAATGGCTAATTTAAAGAAACTGCAGAATGACATTTTTTAAGTATCACATATTTTGAAAATAATGAATAAAACTCATTTAACAAAACTAAGCAATGGTTCCCTCGCCAGCAGAATTCTTCAAACCCATTACTTCCCCAAAACTGCATTATTTGTCTCAAATATTCCTTTGAGCAAAGTTCCTAATCCCATGAATCTAAATACATAAGCAATAAAGTGATCATATTTCTAAAGTCTCAAAACCCCAGCTCCCTCCCAGTGAGAAGTCTTCAATTGTTCTTTCTATTTTAGAACACAAAGACATAGAATCTTAAATAGTGACATTTTTCTCTCTGAGGAGCCTAGAAAGCATAGAGCAAAAGGGAGAATAAGCATGCTACTTTAAATAATACTTTATATTACGAAACGTGTCCAGACAGCACAATAAAAGACAATCGTACATACACATCAATCCAATATGTGATGTATCAATAAATCAAAAAGGTGAAGGAGGATATACTCACATAAACAATGTTAATGTGGAACATTGCAAATGTTTACTTGAAAAGATATAAAACATCAGGCCAGAATACATTCCCAAGCAGACATAACATATTTGCAGAAAGTGTAAGATCGTAAGAAACATTCATACAAACCCAGCGTTGTCTTTTCCACACTTGCTCTGCCATTGATCATAAAATTCATTACCACAAAAGATTATTAAATATAAAAATTAACATAAAATGGCATCATAGATTATGAATGATCTAGAAATATACTTCCACCATCCCGGGCTTAAAAGAAAGTGCAAAAGATGCTTCTTTGATAAAGAAAGGCCATAAATAGACTTGTGGTATAAGCTACTAAGTTCTAAACTTGTGAACTTGAGAAACAGTTAAAAGCATGCAACTTATGTGCACGATACCAATCATCTTCCAATGTAAACATACACTGGCATTTATCCCTTCAGTCTTCAGACATACTAACCTAACATATTGTCTGTATGCCGCCAAAACACACATAATATCATTAATCTATTGTGAACAAGGATAATATCCTAAATTATGTAACTCAAGCCAAAAACAACTTTAATGTAGACTCAGCATACAAAGATGAGGTTAATCATGAAATAGGAGCTATTTTGAGCATATCCAATGATCAGGCAGCAGTTAGAATATGAAGAAGACAGAACAATGAACCAACTCAAGCAAAATTCACAATTGATAGACATAATAAATTTCAGTCCATTAAACAATAATAGATATTTTTCTGATTGAACGGTATTTACACATTTTTTAAGAGAAAACACACCATTCCAAACTTAGTTTCCTCATAGATTCAAGTCAAAGGACGCACCAACAAGGCCAGCATTTTCATTACAACATAAGGTAGCAAAAGCTCCATGATTAATCAATATCAAGAATAGCCAAGGTAAAGCGTCATAAATATTTGGAAGTAAAATATTTTTCCAACTATCAGCCATATTAAGAGTAGTGCTTCAACATTATACCTATCCTATATAGGTAGGAGTGCTATGTGAATGCATAATGTCTGTCAAACAAAATTTCAATGCGGTTTAACAGGACTAAAAAAGAAAAATTTTCATCAAATGGCTCTGGCTAATAACAACTCAATTGCACTTTAACAAATGTTTGGATAAAACTCTCCAAATATATTGAAAAAAAAAGATGAAAAAAATCTCTCGGCATAAATTAAAGTTATTTCATGCGCTAATTTATAGAAGTATCTTCATATTACATAACAGTTGAATTTTAACTAAACTATTTTAATTTTCCTTCCTACTTTTTTTCTCGTACAAGAGACGTGACATTTTCTCGATCTAGTTACATTCAGCAAAAAACTAATGCTGCTATAGAATATAAAAAAGTTTAATCTTATTTGAAATCAGCCAGCTTCAGTTAAGAGTTATAAAAGACAGATTCGTGGCGAAACTTCACTGTAACATTCAAAAGATTTGAACGTTGATTCTCAGAATTACAGAGAGCCGAGCGAGAATCACCGTGAGAGGTGAGAAAGGAAAGAGATGTACCTGAAGGAGACACGCGACGGTGGCGGACGAGGTGGACGGCGGAGCAAGCTTGGTTGTGGGTATTGAGTGCCGCGCGAAAGTGAGGGGTTTTGGGTACTAGGTTCCCTCAACAATTCTAAATTCTAATTTCACTAAAATTTTATCAGTTTTTTTGTAAATAGTCCTCAAAGTTTCTGAATATGAAATTTTGATTCTCATAAACATTTAAGTTTACATTTGATTTTCTAATTATTTTTTAATTAAATAAAATTAATTAATTTACTGTTAATATATATTTAATTGTTAAAAATTATATATATATATATATATATATATATATATATATAAGTTGAAATTTGAAGAATTATTGAAAAAATAATTGTATTTTTTATTATAAATAAAGAATGATATTTTGTTTCTAATTGAATTTGGTATTTATAATTAATTGTGTTAGATTTAATTTCAATTTAAGAATTTTTTATTAGTGTAAAGAAAACCATTTCCTCTTCTTTCTATTTTTCCTTTAAGATTTGATTATAAAATGATGATAAATATTAATTTTATTATTTAAAAATATTTTTAAAAAATATTATTTTTAATAATAGATATAATTAAAAATATAAAATATAATAAATAAAAATAGTTAATATAATCACAAACTTTATAAGAGATATTTAATAATAATTTCTTTATAAAAATTTGACAATTAAAAAAGAATAGAAGAAATATTGCTTAAAAATTCAAAATACATATTTATCATCGTAATTTATAACTAATTTTTTTACCAATATAAATATTTTAATTCTTAAATTTTGTAACATAAAATCTTGTTTATGGATAAAGTTGTTATTAATTTCTTTTCTTAAGTTTTAGTTAGATTAAAGAATATAATTTGATATTTTATCCGTATTAATCACATAATTTTTTTTTCTTTTAAGTTTTTTAGATAGATTAAGAAATGTAAATCAATTCTCGTGAATATATTTCATTACATCGAGAAGGAAAAGGTCTCTTGTAGGAATTAGAGAACATACCTTTAATTAGAATTAATTTGTTCTCCTACAAGAGACCTTTTGTTCAATATCCGTATTTTATAGATGTTTCATAACCTTTCTTTCACATACAGCCGAAAGAAAATTTAATGCCACTTATCCAAAACTAGAATAAAATAAAGCTTTGATACCACTTGATAAATTTAACTGAGACAAATTTAATCTACATAGAGTAGAATAGAGAGACTTTACTTATTTTACTGTAATACCAAGAATCTCAAAAGATAATGAAGAAAAAAATAGAGTATATACATGATATGTGTAGCTGTTACCAATTTATGCAACCTGAAAAAGTAAATATCCCTTCACTGGTTTTTGATTTGTATGTTGAATGACACCTTAAGCTTAAGCTTCTTACGCATGCTATTTGGTCTCCTTAAACAAGATTTCAGTAAGGTAACTTGTTCACTTGACACAAACTCTATGTTAACATCATTCTTCTTGAGGTCTTGCATTTCAGTCCTCATGTCCATGCTATAGTACTTTTCATAATATTTCAAGGCCTTGAAATAAGGTCTAAACTCAAAAGTTGAGGCATCTATTAGTTCCATTCTCTTCTGGCTGTTTTCTTCATAGCTAGCCACTTTTGGCCAAATCTCAAAATGGGATTGGTTTTGTGATCTTTCACGATATGTGCACACATTTTCCATGTCTTGAGACAATGTCTCACTTACAATGTTAGAGTTTCTTTGGGAGATAGGAGAAAGGAATGAAAGCCTGATGTTTTGATTGTGCATCTGGGGTTTGGAATTTATCCCATTATAAGAGCTGTCATGATAATCTTGTTTGAGTCGTTGGTTTTGTTGTGAAAAGGGTGATTGTTCTTGTGATTGAAAGCTAATGCTTTGTGATGTGGTGGCCTTCAACAGGTCATAGATTGTGTGATTGGGGACAATGAGGAAGACACTCCCCGGAAGCAAAACTGACTCAGGTTTGACCACAATCCATGGGAACTTAAAAACATCTGGCCTAGTTATGCAGTGTCTAGGGTTCTTTTTCATGACCTCTTCTGCTCTTACTGGCTCTCTGTGAACCTCAATATGTTTACCAGGATGAACAAGTTTTAACACCCTTTTCTCTCTTTTGATGCTTCCCATTTTCAAAAACTGCAGCAAACAAAATAAAAAATTGTGGAAGAGGAAGTATGAGGTTGCTTAATCTTGGTTTTATATCAATGTTAGTCTGAAGAGAATTGTCTTTGAAAGAAAATACTGGTGGAGAAAACAAATATTAGTCTTATATTATCATATCATGACATAAGCAAGTGAAAATTCCTAAGGAAGGATCTTTGGAGAAGAGGAATCTTGTTCTAAGAATTCGTCTTATTGGATGACAGCTAAACTTGTGTTTATGGGGAGATTTACTTTGTTAGTTTTCCTTTTGTATTTAGTTTCTTTCATTTTCCTTTCTGGGAATCTTTGATTGGAAAATACTTGTTTTTAAGTAGAGGAATCTTTCCCAAATCTCATTCACACTTTCGTTATTATTAACGTTAAGATTCTAGTAACAAAACTAAGCTTATGATGAACTATATAAAATTTTTGTGCATGTGTCGATTCAATTTAGCATATTGTTCTTCTGAGATAACTATCTCTGCAGAAGGTTGAGGAAAGTTACAAAGGATTTTTTTATCAGTTTAGTAAAGAATTTTTCTCGTACATTACATTTTATATTGGGAGGATTCTCCATGCATAGAGTTGCCACAAGGGTCACAGTAAATTTGCTTGTGCGGATTTAACAACAACCATTCAACCAACAATGAAGGTTGAGATTCAGAAGTGATATACACAATGTCCACTATCGCGTTGTTAACAATGGATCTGGTGCAAATAAATCCTTGTATAAGTATATAAAGGAGGACTATGAGATTCTTGGAACAATTCTTTTATACCATTTGTTAGCTTTCATGAAATTTCAGAAAAGTAAGAAGAATTTACCACGACCTTTCATTAAATTTATATTATGAAATCTATGTAACCAACAATAGTGAATAGTTTTAATCGGAAGTAAGTATAATTACTTATAATCTAAAACAAACATCATTATTGTCAATGAAAAATATCATTAATTTACATTTTTAAAAACCAACAGTAAGGTTGAAATAACTTTGTGCAAGTTTATCGAAAACCAATGTTAATTGAATGAGATTATTATATAATTCTTGGTCATTTTGATCTGGACCAACCTTTGCACTATATAAAGTTGAGTTTAAGTATCTCTTTTTTATACATTGAAATATTTAAAACTAATGTGAAATGTACCTTTGAATAAGAGTATGTTTGAATAAGTTTCCATATAAAAGCTTCTAGAAGGAATTTGACAAAACTCAGGTTTACTGTTTTCCAATTCTATTTGGAGAACAACATGAACGACACAATATAACTGATATCCTTAAAAAAAAAGTAAATGAAATTTTGTGTGTGAGAATCTGCGGTGACAGTGAATTTTTTGTTAGTTTTATAAAAAAATATTAATGATTGATAATTGAATAACAACTTTATGAAGCGGATCATTAAAAATTGAATTAAGAGTATAAAACACTGGTAAATACTTATAAAGAAATTATATATATAATCTATATAAAGAAGAACATTGCACAAAGAATCAATAAAATAGTTTTTATCGAAGATAGCAGTGATTGCAATTGGAAATCGCAATGCCATATGTTGATAATACTCTGTTTTTCAGTTATACCAAAGATATCCTAATCCTTTCGCTCCATACAAATTAATAAATTTGATTATATTTCTTCCAAGAGACCTTAACCAGTAGTCCAAGTGCACTAATTGGCATTGACAATGCTTTGTGTAGACTACAAGTTTTCTGTAGCAAACGCAAAATAGTGAAAATGGAATAATTTCCTAAAATGATAGGTCTAAATTTTACATTAGAAAATGAATATCCAATATGCTTTCCAAAGGTACTTTATTTGTGTAACCAGAATCTCATACACTTCAAATCTAAAACTACCAGAACTTTAAGGAGCAGAAAACTGTTATAGTAAGACAACCAGAAATTCAACAGCAAATGACAGTGACAAGGAAACACAAAATGGTATGTCCTATTCATCACTTATAATCGTAGCTCCATAGAACAAAACAAGCTAAATTTGAAAGTTACGGCTGAACAAAATTCAAGTGCTCATGCAGTTTCAGTCAGTGGCTATGTTGATTTATTGTTGTAGAAACGCACACCAACCGCAACACCCAAGACAATCAGGGGAACTATAAACTGCAGCATCTTGATCAGGAAATTTGATGATGTGTTCTGATTATTTTGAAGTGGTTTTGGAGGAGTTTGCTTAGGCTTGGCCGGTATGGTTGCTGGATCAATGTCTCCAACATATAAATCAACCAACATGGCTCTAGCACTCTTACTGTGACCAACATCCTCAAAGTCATCAGTGGCATCTTTCCCTGCAACAGATGACATTTGAAAACATGTAACTCAAGTGAGTGGCACCCTGGTATCTAAGTTAGATATATACCTGTGGAAGACAACAAGACATCATCACCACCAGGGTGGTCATCTAAGAACTTTGTGACATTATAAACCTGTTACAGAAAAGAAATGAGTTTTAAGTAATACTAAAAAATATTGGTAACTGGTTGTTCACATAACTTGAAAGCTCGTTAAAGTTTTAATCTGATTTGAAGGAATGAAATGAAATCAATACTTCATAAACTTCTATATGTTTGTGAGTGGTGGATACAGTGGCCTTCAGATATCACATTGTTTTGAGAAGCTTAACAGATATTCAATCGAAGAGAAAGGGTGAAGAGAATGACTAGTATAAACTTTCTTTTTTTATTATGATATGTAGGAGTGTATTTATACAAGATAAAGATAAAGCAACAGAAAAGAAAGAGAAAGCCCTAACATAACAAATGGACTAACAAACTACCCAACAGAAAGCTCTTAATAAAAAGAAGAAAAAATGAAAATAAAAAATAAGCAGAGTAGTAGTTAAGAGCCCCTCAAGCTGGGAATGAATATTAAGTATTCCTAACTTGGAACAGATAGTTTGGAACAGTGTGGGAGATAAAACTTTAGTGAAAACATCGGCAAACTGAAGAGATGAGGAATATGAGTAAGAGTTTTATCAGACCATCATTAATTTTCTCTCTCCATCATTAATTTTCTCTCTTATAATGTGGCAAGCTTAATCCATTTGTAGAATACTTGGTTAGAAGCAATTTGTAGAATACTGGATGAATGAAATGCACACGGAAATCTTGAAGTAAGTATGTGAGCCTTTGCAGCTCACAAGTAATGGAAGCAAGGGTGCGAAACTTAGTCTCCGAAGAACTCGTGGACACGGTAGATTGTCTCTTAGAGCACCATGAAATTAGAGATGAACCAAGTAGATTGAAAAAACAGTTATAGAGCGATGAGAGTCAACATATCCTGCCCAATTAGAGTCACTAAGAGCCTTGAACTGAAGAGAAGCATTTGTAGAAAAGAGTATGCCTGCACCAGGGTCACCCTTCAAATAACGAAAAATGCGGAATGCAGCTTGATAATGTACTTGAGTAGGAGAAGACATGAACTGACTTAAATGATGACTTAAATGATGAATAACATATGTAATATCTGGACATGTGTGGGTTAAGTAGATGAGTCTAACAAGCAAGCAACAATATATAGATGCATCTTGAAGAGGTTCCCTTGAAGTAGAATGAAGACGAGTACTATAATCAATAGGGGCGGTCACTGGACGAGAGGCTAACATGCCATTGTCGGATAATAAGTCAAGAGTATATTTGCGCTGACATATATGAATACCGGCTGCAGTGCGAGCTACTTCAATCCCAAGAAAGAAATACAAATTACCAAGGTCTTTGATTTTAAAGGTAGAATCAAGACATGAAGAGATACGTTGGATTTCATCAATGTCGTCTCTAGCAAGAACAATATCATCAACATAAATGAGGAGAGTAGTAACATGGGATGCAGTAAACTTAAGGAATAAAGAGTAATCAAAAGCATAAGGATGATATCCATTAGTGAGCAAAAAGGAAGAGAGATGTGCATACCACTGGCAACTGGATTGTTTGAGATATAAATGGAGTGTTATAGTTAACAAACTTGTCGAGGATTGGCAAGAGACAAACCAGGTGGTGGCTGCATGTAGACTTCTTCATGAAGATCATCGTATATGCGTTGTTTACATCAAGTTGTTTGAGATGTCAATTATTGGTGGTAGTAAGAGCAAGAAGAAGTCGAATTGTCATAAGCTTGGCAATGGGTGAAAAAGTGTCAAGATAATCAATTCCTTCAATTTGTGTGCAGCCCTTGGCTACCAAACGTACTTTGTAGCGTTCAATGGAAACATCAGTGTTATGTTTGATCTTAAAGATCCAGCGACAACCAATAGCAGTTTTATGTGGGGGTAAATCAGTAAGAAAGATGTAGGGATTTTAGTACATTGGGGTTGAACAATGGTAGTGTGAATAGAACTCTCAACCTCAACAGGAAAAGTAATGGTGTATAATCCAGCATTTACATCAACTGTACCAATCTTCTGTTTATTGTTTGTGTCCTGTATAATGCAAGAATCATGTGAGAAAAACAAATCACAGTGAAAGGAAGATACGAGTTTAGATACTAAAATTAGATTGAATGTGAAAGTGGGGATATACAAAACATTTGTGAGGTATAAATCATTACTAAAATGAATATTTCCTGAGCATGTAGCAGTGACTTGTTGTCTTGTGGGAAATTTAACAATGATAGGTTTAATAGCTTGGAAGGAAGAAAAATTAGTTAATGAAGATGAAACATGATCAATTGCTCCTGAATCTAAGATCTAGGGAGCTTTGAAATGAAATCGGACTTTACTTGAGGAGAAAGAAATAGATTCAATTTGATTTACATGACACAGATGAAGTTACATTGTTTGGTTGCTGGATTAAATCCAACAATGCATGAAATTGTTGTGGAGAAAAACGAAGATTTGGGTTCTCTAAAGCCTTACATTGATCATTCTTCGTGACCTCAATAATTTCAGTCACAACATTATTGATGGTATGTTTGGAATAAAAAAATTTGTATCCTGGAAGTAACCCATGTTTATGATAATAAACATCAACTGTGTGTCCCTGACATCCGCAATGAGTGCACACTTTTCCATTTTAAAAAGTATTTGATTTGTTCTTGTTGTTAGGAAAACCATGTTTGTGATAACAAATCGTTTCTGTGTGACTAGTGCGACCACACTGGGTGCAAGGGGTAGCAATAGTAGCATTAATCAACGATTCTGATGGAGAGTATACAACAGGTGTAACTAATTGTCGTTTTTGCTGAACGACACAAGATAATATTTTAGAAATTGAAGACAATGGGTTCATAAGCAATGCATGAAAACGAACATTGCTATATTGCTCGTTTAATCCTCGTAAGAATTGCATGACTCTATCTTCAAGTTTTCTTTGAGTGAGGAGAGACAAAACATTACAAGAGCATTTAGGTGCACAAGTACATACTGGTCTGAAATTCTCCATTTCGTCCCATACAATTCTGAGTTTAGTGAAAAAGTCGGTGATAGAAAGGTTGTCTTGTTTAGAAGAGGCCCCTTAGTGCAGTTCCGACACCCGTAACAGATATCCTTATGCGTAATGTGATCTTAAGTTTGTCCATATACCTTCCGCATTGTCCATAACGAATCGGGATGGAAACAGAATGGACATCCACGAAATTACCATTTTATTGCATCTTCTCCAAGCATGATGTAAAGGACCCGAAACTATTGGTTGTGGTGTTGTTCCATCGACAAACTCGACTTTATTCGTTGCGAGCTGTCAACATAGATCGACTCAATGATAATTAGTGGAATCAAGAAGAAGAAATATCAATATTATTGCTGAATTCTCACTAAGGTAGAGATACAGATAGCTGTATAGCTAAATGTTTGATTATCACTCATGATTGTGGACAAAAAAGAAAAGAGACTTGCGGAGCGCGGCAGAGCCCTTCAAGAGGGCTTTGATATCATAACAGAGATATAATCGAAGAGAAAGGGTGAAGAGCATGACCAATGTAAACTTTCTTTTTTATTATGATACAAAGGAATGTATTTATACAAGGTAAAGGTAAAACAAAAAAAAAGAAAGAGAAAGCCCTAACTGAAAGCTCTTATCAGAAAGACAAAAGAAAAAATGAAAATAAAAATTAAGCAAAGTTTTAGTTATGAAAGCTTCATACACTTTGAAAAACTCTTAGATGCAAAGCACACTAACACAACATAAAAGTACTGTTATAAAATTGTTTAAAACTTTCCATGTTGCAGTTAATATTTAACCTGATTACATACATAACTTATTCCTGTCATAATCACATTTTTATGACATATCTGCAGTAATATAGATGTCAAACTTCAGAACCACACTTAAGTTGATTATAGGAACAAAGAGAATGGATAAAACGTAATAATGTTTAGTAGACACAAATATTAGGGGACACAGAACAGTGATAATAATATAACAAGAGAGATAGAGGTGTTAAATGAATGTCTATGCTATATTGAAATGTCCATATCATTGTTGAATCGTTTATACATAAGCCATATAAAAAAGACTAGATAAAAAGTAGATAGACTGGGATGTCAATTTTATAACTTTGAATTTCTACATTTCAAGAACAAAATCAACCAAATATTAGTTAGGTTTAGGAGTTATGAACAAACAATCTACTGTATTAAAGCACACGACCAGCAGTTCAAAATTTTTAAAAATTAGTAATACAAATTCTAAATCATTTCAGTTGAAATTTATGTACATCATAGTAGTAACGTAGGTCTCATTTCTATGTTAGTAGGACTCACATGAATTTCACGTAACAGAAAAAAAATGTATTGAAAAGAGAATGTCAGAGTGTGATAGTAATACTCCACTTACCTGTACAGTAAAATACACTCATGAACCAAGATGTGGGACACGGATGAATCATAACACAACCACCCCAATGTGGATTTGCTTAATTGAAATTCTTACAGAATTGAAGTCCAGATATAAGTCATTACCAAAGGAATCAATTTTATAGGAATTCATGTGATTCGCAAATAACCACTTTTCATACTGCATGCAGATAAGTGATGTGAATCCTAACGCCAGTTGACATCGATCACTAGCATGTAATGTTATTCACTCAACACAAAGATATATGCAAAGTGAATATGAAGATCAGATCCAATTGAACCATTCATCGCATTGCATGATTCATTCCATGTTATTTTCTCCACAAATAATCAAATCAAAGGCACGGAACCCATATTGTAGAATCACAAAAACATTTGCATCGATGCATGCATTGGTATAAACATTACACACATATGAATACATACATACCTTGCCATCAATGATAAGCCAGCAATCTTTGGAGTTGTTGTGCTCAGAAACTTGGGCCAAAGTGTAAACCTTGCGCTCCTCATCCCCATCCCCACCCATTTGTCTAAGGAGAGGAATGATAAAATGTTGTCTGTTGGAAGAAATTGATGATTATGGTAAGGTTTTTGGTATTAAGATGCTAAAAGAATTTCAAAGCGTGGAACTTGGAGATCGCTGAGAATGGTTAGTTGGTTGGTGATATGAAATTATTCAGGGGAACAGATGATAGAACTACGTTGTAATTACTCATCTGTTTTATTCTGCACAATCTTTATATTCTAAATTATTCATTTGACTTTGTACAAACATTTTAATTCTTCAAAATTTCTAGAGACTAAAACAAGTTTAAAAATAATTATCGAGTTAAAATAATATGCTGGTAAAATAATAATATATAGATTGGGAAAATACCTCCTATTTCACAAACACATAAAATAGTTAATAAAAAATTTAATTACATAAATTAAGATTTTTCAAGTTTTCATATATTACTCACTTATTATTCTATTATTAAATTTTTAATCATCACTATTAAAAAAGTTATTGATTTTATATTTCTTATTAATTTAAATATTTTTAAATATAGATAAATAATTTTATTAACTATGAACATTGTATTTTATTTTGATTTATTGTTTCATGTTTTAAACATTAAAAGTATCATTAGGTTGAGTAAAAGGGAGTTTGTGAAAGTCATTTACAAAAGCCCTTCCATTTACACAATTTCTAATTCAAATATTTAGTTTATTACGGTTTTATAATTAACATATATCTTTACAATGAGTTTTTTTTTTTATATATAATGTTGATTAAACAATAACTAGTTTAATAAGTTTTATTTTATTACAAGTCATGAAAAGTTTAATAAACTTTTCATCCAATATTTTCTTCACCTTATTCAATACTCCAAACTTCATATATAGATGTTAAAAGTTATTAACAAAAGATAGATTGACAATTTTTTCTTATATACATTTATTAAATAATTGGCGTAAAACTATTTTGCCTAACTATTTTTGAAAAAAATAATCACTAAAAAATCATGTCATTGAATTTTTAAAAATTGACATAAAACTTCGTACGGAATATGAAGGAATTGTTTAAGGTAATTAGAAACAAAAGATACATTTTTTATATATATATAAAAATATTCTTTAGTTTATTTATAATTAATTAAATTGGGCTTACAGTTCAACGCGTTAGGCCCGTTGGGTCAAAAGCCCAAGCCATATACTCCAAAAAACCCTAATCCAGTAATCCCTCTGCGCCTCCCTCTTATACTCAAAACCGTGGCGGAGACACACAGCAGAAGAGACCAACCATTCAACCATCAGTGTTTTGTGTGAGAGAGAAAGAGAGGGGAAATGGTTTCAGGTTCAGGGATCTGCGCGAAGCGGGTGGTGGTGGACGCTCGCCACCACATGCTTGGGAGACTTGCCTCTATCGTGGCCAAAGAGCTTCTCAACGGCCAGAAGGTGGTGGTGGTGCGGTGCGAGGAGATTTGCATCTCCGGGGGACTCGTGAGACAGAAGATGAAGTACATGCGCTTCCTCCGTAAGCGCATGAACACTAAACCCTCTCATGGCCCCATTCACTTCCGGGCTCCTTCCAAGATCTTCTGGCGTACCGTTCGTGGGTTAGTGCCATTTGAAAAAAAAAAAAAACATTATTTGACGCACTTTTTTATCTTTGCAATTGGTATAACTTTGTATAATCGAAATTCGATGTGTATAAAAATTATATTTTCCCATTAAATAATGATTTTTTTCGTGAGCTGCTGTATATTGATGTCAATCATGTTTTGAGAATAAATGTAGGGTTTAGATTTTAATCGTGTTTCCGTATATTCAACTTTGTTATCCGAATATTCAATTTTGACTGGTGAAATAGGGGTTTAATATTTTGGGGTTAAGTTGTAAGAGATAAATGCCTTGCAATGAAGGATAATAAGATATGGTTTTGATGTTTTAGTGATTAGTTTGTAACTTTTGCACTATCAGTATATTGATATTACTTTTTTGCCTAAAGTTTATCATAGAAAGATGTTTGTGTTTTCAGGATGATTCCACATAAGACAAAGCGTGGGGAAGCTGCTCTTGATCGACTGAAGGTTTATGAGGGAATTCCTCCTCCATATGACAAGACCAAGAGGATGGTTGTCCCAGATGCTCTCAAGTCAGTGTTACTTTAAATGTTTTTAAATTTTTTATTTTTAAGTTACTTTTGGTTAAGGATTTTTTTTATTGCGGTTCTTCAATCTATTGTTTCTAATTGTGGATACTGAACTGGGGAATGGAATTAATTAGGGTTTTGAGGCTTCAGAAGGGACACAAGTACTGTCTTCTAGGCAAATTATCATCTGAGGTTGGATGGAACTATTATGATACCATCAGGGTGAGTGCATACTGAATTATTTTGTAGTTTGAATTTGACTTTTACTGGTGAATTGTTAAGAGTAATCGCTGGTTAAGTAATTTATGAGATTTGGTCTCAACAGAGCTTATTGGGGAGTAGACCGATGTTCTCCTACTGTTTGTTGGAGTTTTTCTCTTATTAGAGGTTTCTAATTCCTATATTGCTAACAGGAACTGGAAAAGAAGAGGAAGGAGAGAGCACAATTGTGTTATGAGAGGAAGAAGCATCTTGCCAAATTAAGGGTGACTGCTGAGAAGGTTGCAGAGGAGAAGCTGGGTTCCCAAATTGAAGTCCTTGCTCCTGTTAAGTACTAAGTAGTTTTCTAGTTGATGTTTTGAAGTTTTGGTTTGAGGTGTATACCCAATTGAACTCTATTTCAGTTTTGTTGGTCATCTTGGATTCTAGATATGATAATCTTGGAAGTTGTTTTTCTAGTTTGTTTGCCTTAGAATTTTTATGTTATCTTACCGTGTTTTACTATATTATGTGGTTCTTTTTGTGTTGCGCCTATGATATGATATCATGGTTTGATTGTGGCAGAGTTCAGTTTTGCCCCGTGCATGAAGATAGTGTTAAATGGGATACTTCACCATCAGTTTAATTATGCTTAACGCTACTTCGTTTTGTAGTCCCTGTAAATACCTTTCGTTTCGTAGTCTCTGTAAATACCTTTAGTTTTATTATGCTAAAAGAAATATGTTAAGAATGATCGAGACTAATTTGTAGTGATATTTTAGTAAGGTTCATACAGAGTCATTCTTCCTTAAATCGAATGGGAAAAAAATCACTAACCTGTATGAGGAAAAATAGCCAGGAGGAATTACTGCCAAGACTTGTGGAGTACTCAGTTCAATGGTTCCAATGGACACAGTACCATCTCAACATGCATGATTCACAGAATTCAAGTAGTCATGGACACGTTTCATTATAAACAAAAAAAACATAATGCTAATACTTGGATGACAGTAAAAGGTACACGACATGATGTTGCAAATGGATTAATCTTAATTAGTTAAATACTTATTTTATAAAGTGTATCCATAGAAGAAATCATTCAATACATTTTTCCTTCATCTAAATGAAGATGTGTTCTCATTGTTAATTTACCATATAACTTTTCTATAAATTGAACTATTATATTCCATAATTTGATTATTTTACAAAAATTTATCTTACACAATAGAATATTATTAAAAATATTATTTAAAAATAAGAGTGAAGCAAAGGATCGATCAAATAACTAAATGAAATGGAACCTGCTATGATCGATATAGTAGAGGAGAATTCATGTGATTTTTAGGTTCTAATTTCAAACTTCATTATGTCAACATACATCAAATAAAAATAATTTAAAATGAGAAGTGAATTGAATACCTATACGATAAAAATGTAATATTGATTCTTGGTGTTAGAAAGGGATGGTGTTTGAATAAAAGCTACGAGCGACATCATAAATGTTGACATGATACCATAATACCAACCAAAACCCCGAAAATGGCATCGCATCCAAATAATTGTCGTTTTAGAGTATTTGTATTAGAAATGAATAGATAGGAGAGAGTATGGCTGATAAACTGCATTCTATGCATACATTCTAATATTTTTCTCCTGATAAACTACAATTCTATTCTATGACAATTATCATAAAGCATTTTAATGTAGTTGCATTAATAAGGACACAATTTTTGATGACAAGTTAACTTTGTTCCTTCATTCATTGCTTTCTGTTTGTGAGAGGGTAGAGCTATTGGAGACATGTGACTGAGAATTCTTGTGGAGGATGAAACCTTTATTCCCAAAGTTTTTTAAAGATGTCATAAAGCTCTTAACACCGTCATCCAAATCCTTCTGCAGAATCTGAGGGGAAAACAAATCTGGGTTTTCTGAAGCTTTTTTGACCGAGATTACTGCAAAATTTATCTACAAAGAGAGAACGTGGAAGGCACTAGGTTAATGATGGAGTAGTAGTTCTTCCTACCAGATCATATATCAAAATAATAATTAGGTGACTGAGACTACGCATATTCCAACAAGTAAACTTAGATACACTAAGGCATTTTACCCACTGTGCTCTAATCATATTGCCTTTGCTCCCTGCATAGTTTGTTTAAATATTAAAAATAACAAACACATTGTTGAAAAACTAACTGTTCTGACTCCTGAGAAATACAAACAAACTATTCAATAAGTTGTCACTACCGATTTGCCTCAATAATGCCGGTTCATCAAAACTTAAAACAAAATTGGATTTTACAAATCCTTACATTTCAGTTGACCATACACACCAAACTATTTCAAACTTACAATCCTTACATGATGGTTGATCCTCTAAACTTCTAAAACCTATTCATCATAAACTACATAATAGTAATGTTTTAAAACAGGCTACTCTACATAAGGCAAAATTGTGATTGGTGATCACGAAGTTGTGGCATTCAAAACATGTACTGTTTGATTAATTAATGAAGCACGTTTACTGTAAATTATCCATCATTTGTAGATCTCATATCAAGACAGCTGTATTTCCACCTACTAATAGTCGCTCTCGTGATATCATAGTGCACTAGATATGATACTCAAACAAATAGAACTAAAGTAATTCAGTCTTTTATAACAATGACTAGTGTTTGATCATGAGTCATGTCTATTATGTCTTAGAAATGAAGATGTATCTAACTCATTATCATAAAACTGGTTCATAGAGATTCTTCAGCTCCCCAGTTATCTCAGGTTTGTGTAAGACTGAGGACTTTGTAACCAATAGAGTTTGATTAATAAACATCAAACTAGCCAACACATATCCCATCATGGAAGAATATTTTAAATGTACGAGGAAAACTCTTCCAAGAAGGGATGACCTGGTTCTTAGTGCCAAAACTCCTTTTATTGTGTTCTTATGCATAGTATAATTTTGTCCAATTATGTTTCTAAAATGAATGGTGTGTTAAATACCGCCAAAAACCACGATATCATGCTCATGTACCCCACAATTGTAACTAAAGCATCATAAATCTCATGTTGTACAAAAACACGATCATAATGACGATAGATATAGAGACTAGAGAACCAATGCCCGAACTACAATTGCGGGGAACATTGAGCATGATATCACAGTTTTTATCAATGTTCAACATGTCATTCATTTTAGGAACACAATTGGACAAAATTACACTTTCATAAGAAAGTCTTAAAGGAAGTTTTGGCACTAAGAACTTGGTTAACCCTTTTTGGAAGAGTTTTTTTCATACATTTCAAATATTCTTGCATGGATGGATATGGCTGGTTTGATGTTCATTAACCAAACTGTATTGGTTACGAACTCCCAGTCTTGCAAAGACCTGAGATAATCATGGAGTAGAAGAGTCTCTATGAACTGATTTTATAGGGTTGGATTATGTATCTCTCTATTTCTAATAATATGCAGTGAATTTAACATTCAATTTGATGATCGTAGTCCTTGAATAATGTCCTACATGCACATGATCTCTTTGAAAAAAAAAATCCACCAATTATGAATACCAAATAATCCTAATAAAACTTTGAAGGGGAAAAGATGAAAATATTAGAACAAGTCATAGAAAGAATAAAACAAAATGGGCCAGCATGTAAGCAATAAATTGGTAGCAACGTTAAAATCAGGAAAACGAAAATATATCTAAGGTAGTAAATGCTAGACTCAAACAGTGATACTTTTATTTTAATGATGATAAAATGGTCATCATACCGATTGTGAGGCCTTATGCACCAAAGCTTTGGCAAGTGGCAATATGCAAAACCTTTAGACAAAGAAAGAAGGAAAAAATAATTAGCAAGTAATAAAGTACATAAAAGGTGTTTTGTTGCTTAGCTTGTGTGTAGAATTTCATTTACTTCTTGCACTGCTTAATTAGGAACACACAATGCTCATATAGTACATCATTGACTTTTTGTGCTTTCAGAAGCCAAATAAAAAGATTTAAATAAAAGGGAAACATCTTACATTCCTCGGCCTCCATCAAGTGCTTCCTCTGCTGGGTCTTTCCACTCATCGATTCTGTCAGACACAAACCAATAGTGATCGAAGATTTACTATTGAAATATATACTAGGAGACAACATTAATACCCATGAAAGAAAGAGAAAGAGATGAATGGGGAGAGAGAGAGATTACACCCATCCATAGCGGCGGTCAAACAGAAGCTGCTTAGAAGATTGTCTAGAGTTTGAAACATTGACTTTCGAGCTTGTGGATTCCATCTACAACACTTATTTGCTAGAATGAGCGTATGCGGAGGAACGCTTGTGTTGATAGCTGGAAAAGATGATCAATAACAACAAAGAATTGAGACAATCAGAGATTTGTTTAAGATCCAACATATTAAAGAGGGGGACATTTTGTGTTGATACTTTTAACTTAATTGAGCCAAATTCAAAACATATGTCAACCTAGCAAAACCTTTATTAAAAAAAAAGTTAAACAAACAATCTCATTAAGAATATTTAAAAAAAATGATGTATAGATATAGAAGTATGGTTAAGCTATCAGTTTTCCAGATTCAGCCACAAAGCTTCGGGAAGTTTGAATCATTGAACATATAATCATACTAAAAATTTCACCCTACAGTTAAACTTTGATTCTCAGCAATTCTTCAAAACAATCATTGGCAAAAGTTCATAGTCAATTTTCAACAACCCACAATAAGTCTTTAAGGGTTTGTATGGACAGACTTATTCAGAAGTATTTCTAAGAGAGAAGAATAAGAAGAAAAAAATGAAATTAACTTCTCCATAAGCTAAAATTAGTCTACATTAAAGTTTAAAATAAGAATATAGGGAAACTATAACTGGGAGCTTCTACAAATTAACTTATACATGCTAATTTTAACTTATGAAGAAACTCATTTAATTTTTCCTTCTTATTTTTCTCTTTTGTAAGTGTTTATGGAGAAGTTTGTCCAAACATGCCCTGGAGTTTTAACAAGATGATTGGATTTTTAAAAGTAACTCCTCAAGTAAAGCCTAACCAAGATACAAATTAGTTAACCTTTACCTGAGTTTAGAAACCAACATACTCAAGTTAGATACAATATGATCCACAAAATTCGCTCTACATTTTTCTCAACTTAGCCATAGGAAGCAAATCAGAGAACGAAAACAATGTAACTATTACCGCATGTCAGATTCAGTATAATAAAAAATTTATACAAAAACTGATGCAGCAGTAGCATCTTTGTCACACATGACCTGATTTCTGTTAATTTCATCAAACACCCTGCACCAAGGCATAATGTCGAGCAATTGTGGCCACAATTAACCACATTTGCCCCTAATTTCTGACAATTTCAAAGATTGTGCTGAAACCTTGACCATGACTGAAATTTAAAATCAGTGGGATGCTATTTAACTTTTACACCAGACAAACAATTACTGAGCATCCAACTTTGAAAACTATTAAACACAAAGGACTGTAGTGTATAAATTCTACACCCTTAAACAGAACATAAAGTTCTCTTCAATCTGAGAATAAACAGGTAAGTTAAACAAGGATAATACATAACCAGTGATATTTCCAATCGAGAAACTAACCCAGAAGGTACCACAAGTAGTGGTAAACGAAAAATTAAACAAGGAAAGGAGATACCTTTGGGTAAAAGTTGAAACTTGGAAATGGTATTGGCTCAAAACAACTGACTGTTTAGATGGGGTGAAGAAATAAATGCATTTGTTTGAAGCGCGCGGTGGAATGAGCAAAGAAAGATAAAGCTGCTTGAAATTGAGTTTTTTTTTTTTTTTTTTTTTTTTTTTTTTCTGAGTGAACAAGGATCTTAGGGCGAATAATTTTATAAAAATTACTTTCTCTTTTAATATTTTTAAAATAAAGAATAAAATTAAATTAAATAAACATAAAATTTAGTCTTTTAACCGTACCAGGTAAATGTTTATGTTTATATAATTAAAATTTGTAACTAACAAATAACAAATATAACTTTTAAAATAGTTCCGTAATTGAATAATTTATTCATTGATATTAATAAAATTATTATAATAATTAAATAAATATATAACAATATTAAAAATTAATAACAATTTTGTTATAAGAAAATTTTAAAATAATTTATTATGAAGTATTATTTAACTAAACTGGTTTTTAATTGGTGTTTCCGATTCTTTTTCTAAAATAGAGAAAACATATATATTTTGAATTTTATAATACATAATTTGTACTGTGATAAACAAATTATATTTTCATGGATCGTTTCTCATAAAAAAATATTGTTAAAATTTAATTTCAAATTAAAGATTAAAAAAATATATAGCTAAAAATGTTGATACTAATACATTTTACTACAAAATAATGTCTCTGATTTAGTTAATAAAATATTTAAAAAGAAACATATTCTATACATTTTAAAAAAATTATTTTCAAACTATTTTTTTAAAAACATTAAATTTAAGTAAACTGATCCAAATTAATGGTAGTTTGAAATTGGGTTTGATAAAGAGTACCTATTGAACTATATGTTAAATTAAATTAATTATAAATTAAATTAATTAATATATTGTTAAAGAAAAACGGTAAGCTTTCTCATGAAGTTAGATATATGAAAGTGAAATAAAAGCGGAATAATTGAACACACCAATTGATAATGAAATTTGGTAAAAAATGCCTACCGGACTATTGCAAATTTTTTACTAAGAGAAAGAAAATTACACTGGTGTTTACAGAAAAAACTCTTAAATCACTCACACCCCACAACCCAATTACACCAAGAAGCTAAAACTATTCTCTCTGCTTCTTGCTGGCTCTCTTGTTGGATTGCATATATGTTTTTCTTCATTTTGAGAACGAGGGAAGACTTCAATTAATAGCAGAAGATGTGTTCTTATGCATTCCATAAATTAAGGAACGAAACATGCTCCATGTTTCATGGCTTTTTTCGTTTCCACCTTCCTATTCTTGCTTTTGTGTTGGTGGTTCCTTGTTTCATGACTTTTCAATAATCTCCCACTTGATGACTGATTTCAATCTATCCTCACACCTTGATTAATGCAGTAGTCTTCTCTAATATGTTATTCTAATAGGTTAACTGAAGTTGAGCACAACTTCAGTTTGTTAATGGTCACCACCTTCGTTAGCATATCTGCTGAGTTCTTGTTTCCCATAATCTTCTTTAATGTTAACACCTCATCCTCAAGTAGAGAGATCTGATGAAATGATAATGTATGTTAATGTGTTTAGTTCTAGAGTAAAATGCATAATTTTTTGCCAGATGTATTGCACTCTGACTATCATTGTGCAAAACACTCCTTTCTTGGATGAATCCCAGCTCTGCCAACAATCCTTGAAGCCATATCAATTCTTTGCTAGCTTCTGTTACTACTACATACTCAACTTCTATAGTAGATAAAGCAACAATTTTTTGTATCAGCGACATCCAACTAACAGTTGTAGTTCCAACCGTGAAAACATAATTGGTGGTACTTCTTCGGTGATCAACTTCACCGCCAAAGTCTGCATCTACGTAGCCTTGTAAATTTAGATCTCCTTTTCCAAAGTATATACATTTTTCATTTTTTTGTTTGCCTCGTAGATACCTCAAAATCCATTTGACTGCTTCCCAATGAGCTTTTCCTGGATTTGTCATAAATCTGCTTACAACTCCCACTACATGGTCAATGTCTGGCCTCGTACAGACTATCACGTACATCAAACTTCCAATGGCTGAAACATGCAAAATCTTAGCCATAAACTCTTTTTCTTCTTTTGTCTCAGGGGATTGATCCTTGGATAGACGAAAATGATTGGCCAAAGGTGTACCGATTGGCTTGGCCTTATCCATGTTAAATCTTTGCAAAACACGGTTGATGTACTCCGCCTGAGATAACTGCAAAACTCTTTTTTGCTTATCTCTCATGATTTGCATTCTAAGAATCTTCTTTGCTGGGCCTAAGTCCTTCATGTCAAATTCTTTTGACAACTACATCTTCAAATTTCTGATATCTTTCATATCTGAACTTGCTACTAACATGTCATCAACATAAAGTAGCAATATAGCTGGATTTATACCTCTTGAAGAAACAATAGTGATTAGCATTGCACTTCTGGAAACCTTCCTTGTACATGAAACTTTCAAACTTCTTATACCACTGTCTTGAAGCTTGTTTCAGACTGTACAAGCTCTTCTTTAATTTGCACACCATGTTCTTCTTCTTTTCTTCTAAAAAACCTTCAGGCTGGTGCATGTAGATCTTCTCATCCAAGTCTCCATGAAGAAATGCAGTCTTCACATCTAATTGCTCTAGGTAGAGCTCTTCACTAGCCACAATACTTAACATAGTCCTGATAGTATTGAGCTTTACAACTAGAGAAAATATTTCAATGTAGTCAACTCCTTTCTGCTGAAATCCTTTGATAACCAGTCATACTTTGTATCTCTTGGAACCATCATGGTCTTCCTTAACCCGATACACCCATTTGTTGTGAATTGCTTTCTTTCCCATAGGTAACTTGACTAGTTGTCATGTCTGATTGGAGATTAAAGACTTCATCTCGTCTTTCATGACAAGTTTCCACTTGCTAGCATCCGTGGTTTGACAAGCTTCCATATAATCTTCAAGCTCCCCTCCATCAGTCAACAACATGTAATCCATGTATCTCCTGTTTGGTACATGAGGGTGAGATTATCTTCTTAATTCATGAGTTGGAGTAGGAGGTTCTAGTTGCACATTGTTTTCTTCATTTGATTCCTTCATTATAGGACTTTCTGGGACATCTTCCACCACTGTAAAAACTGACCCACTCGATCCTGAGTTGCTGATACCTGTTTTATGCATGTCCTTGTACATCACTCTTTCATTGAAGATTACAACTCTGCTGCAAATCATCTTTTTGTTTTCATTATCTCATATGTGGTAGCCAAACTCATCTTCACCATAACCAATGAAAGTACACTTCTTTGATTTTGGATCAAGTTTGTTTCTGTCTTGATCACTGATATGGACATATGCTATACAACTAAAAACTCTAAGATGTGAGAGTTTTACCTCTTTTCCACTCCATACCTCTTTTGGTATCTTGTGCTCCAATGGTACTGATGGACCTCGATTGATCAAGTAAGTTGTTATGTTGACTGCTTCCGCCCAAAACTCCTTTGGTAAGCCTGATTGCACACGCAAGCTTCTGGCTCTTTCAGTCAACGTTCGATTCATACGCTTAGCTACACCATTGTGTTAAGGCGTAACTGGCACAATCCTTTCCATTTTGATTTCGTGCTCATAGCAAAACTTCTTGAATATGGTGTCTACATATTCACCACCATTGTCGGTTCTGAGCTTTTTAATCTTCAATCCTATCTCATTTTCTACCATAGCTTTCCATATCTTGAAAGCCTCAAATACTTCAGACTTATGTCTCAAAAAGTATACACATACCTTTCTAGAGGAGTCATGCACTGTTCTCTTTTCCACCAGGGCACCACACTTAGAGTCAGAATTCCTCATCCAAGTGGCTACCTCCACCGCTTCCCCTCACTCACACCAAACTCTCTTTCATCTCCTCTCCTCCTCACCATCACCATTTCCAACACACTCACACAATTCTTCCTCCGTCCAGCTTCCTTCCCCTCTCGTCTTCCTCCTAGCCGTGGGGGCCACCCCCTTTATCCCCCATTTTCTCTACATCTCACTCTCCTCCATGGTCACCACCGCACCACCCTCGGGAGCAAAACCTGTGAACCCCCTGGCTCCACCCTGGCCGCAAAACCTTCTCCCTAGACAACCTATGTTGCCTCCCACTCAGATACACGACAACCTTGACCTCCATCGCACCATTCGTAGCCCTCACCACGACCCACTGCTCCTTCACCCTAGTCTCACCTTCACCGGAACCACCATGCACACCACCATCTTCACATCTCAACCTTAATTACAGCGAAATCACCAATTCGCTCTCCCCCTCTCATTCCTAGCATCCTAATCCGCTGCCCCCTATTAGTGTGGGTCACATCTTCCCAATCTCCGTTGTGCCTCCTCCCTTTAGCCACCTCCTATGCCACCTAAACTATTGACCGCATGGCCAACCACCACTGGCCTGTGTCGCGCCCCACCAATCGACCGCCACTATCCCCACCTAAGAACCTCATCTCGCCGTTATCAACCTTCCTTGCGGACAAGATCCCCTCATCGCGGGTCACCGCAACCACTAAGTGTGAGCCATCGTGATTCGCATCTTCATCCTGCTACAACAAGCCACAACACCAACCACCAAACGCCTCTGAACCGCCATCTGCGAGTCACCTAGGTGATGTTTTCTCCATTTTATTCTAGCCCGACCCCGTTTCTATTAATTTGGAAGATATGTCCATTTGTCTGGTTTTGATTGGTTCCAGTTTGGTTTTGTTTGGTTAATCTGTATTTGTGGATTACGTTGCCTTTTAATCGGTTCTAATCGTTTGGTTTGGTTTAGGTGTGACTATTTGGTTCTAATTAGGGGCTATTGAAGCCCTTTCTTGGTTCTGTGTTGGCTATCTAAATTGATATGGATTGAATATAATCAGTTGTGTGTGAGTTTATTGGTTGGGTATAGTCCTAGCTTGGATCGAGGTTTTACTGGATGGTTAGCTCTTGTTGTTAGGGATGACTCAGTCTTGTTGTCACTTATATGAGTGTTCCAATTTCAAATTGCCCTTTTTTGTTTTGTGTGGACTATAGATTGATTGCTTTGTTAATATTTCAAACAAGGTTGTGGGTTCTGGTGCATTTGATGAAACATATTTTTATTGTGTAATTACATATCATTATGGCCCTATTTACTCTCACATTTAGGCTTAATTTTATGGTAGTTTAATGTTTGTTAACTATAATTTGAATTGTGGACTTAATTGCAAAAGTAATTAAATTTCATGTATATTGGCAGTTTAACCTTTGCTCAGTGATAAGGACATATCTGGAGCTACAACACTCCAAATTGTAAAGGTAAGAGACAAAAATATAAATGTTTCTCTCATAAGCATTGTCCAAATCCAATCGGAAGATGACCAAATTTGAGGTCAAAAAGTCACCACGGAATTTGCCCTACATGTCCAAATTTGGATTGTGCTGGCTACTGTTTGTTGAGTTTGGTTTAAATGGGGTTTGTTGAGTTTCTTGGTTGTTAGGACCATGGGTCTTGTGGTAATGTACGTATTATGTTGTTATGCTGCCAAATTTTCATTCAAAGCCTAATGTTGATGTGCAGAGGATCTAGTCTCTTAATATGTTATGATTTGTCTCAAGTTTTCATTATGTTTTTATACTGGATGGCGGTGTTAGTTGTGTTATCTAAACTAGATTGTGTTATTTATAAACTAGGTTGTATTATTTGTAATCTTTGAGTGGATTGGGTTATGTTATTATTGGGTTGTTTGGATTGTGTGGCTAATTACTGTGAGGTTATTAGTATGATGCGCGTTTGAATGTGTCGTGTAATTTCAAATAGGGATATTGAGTTTCATCCAAAGTTTAGTCTGTAATATATCCTAGTTGTGATGTTCATTGTTCGTACCAAATCTTACAATTATGCTGTGAAAATCTGACTTGTACCTAGCTATCAAGACCGTGGGTCTTAAAGTTATGTCGTTATGCTGCCAAATTTTCATTCAAAGCCTGGTTTTTATGAACATATGATTTTTCTTGGTCTCATAGTATTTATTCTAAGGCTTTCATTAGTGTACATGACTTTCGTTTTTGTACATTGTTTGGATTATGTTTTGAGTTATATTAGGCCCCGCATTTCGATATAGAGTTGTCGGCCTTGTGCCTTGATTTAGGTTATTTGGACGACTGGTCCTTTATAATTTTCTTTTCTTTTTCCATAATAAATTCTGTGTTATATTATTTTCCATAACTATTAATATTATTAGCAATTAAATTTAAATTTCTGTTATGAAATTGATGAGAGCTTTTTAAAATGCGAGAGATTGTTGATATTGAAGCTTCACAAAAGATAGAAGGGTAAAAGGAAGGAAGTGATCTGCTCATCCAATTTGAAGATCTTTGTTAGTAGGTAAGTAATTACCTTTGACTTTTCTATATTGAATTTTAAATAATGATTGATTGGCTAACTATGGATGCCTTGTATTCAAGTGAGGATTGGGGGCAGTAAATGTAACATGTAACATGGTTAGTGGAAGGATTGATTTGTTTGATTATTTTGTTCAATTTGTTTGCATTGATTCAGAATATATATTAACAATCATCATTTAAAATTGATGAATATTTTGTATTATAATTGATGAATATTGAACTATTATACAGTTATAAGAATATCAGTTTCAACAGTTATATAGTTATAAGAATTGAACCGTTAAGTTGATGTTAGTCTTGTATCTTCATATATTATGAAGATGAAATTAGTTATTTAGTTATTCTAACCTTGTTGGGTAAGAGGGTTACATGAGTCCTACATTGAATGACCTTCAAGTTATTATATTGGTCATTACTAAACACTTGTCAAAATCCATTCTAAGTTGGTACTTTAATTAGTGTAGCATTGAAGTTCATATTTTGTAGAACATAGATCAATTTCATGCAAATCGCCATTGGATGTATGATCGAAGCCATAGTAATAGAGGTGGTTTGAAACAAAGTTTTGTTGATGGCGTTGAAGAGTTTGTCATGAAAGCTTCTGAACAAGTTTGTTATCAAAATGAAGCCCAAACGAGATGTCCATGCAATAAATGTCAATGTACAAAGATCTTGCCAATGAAAATGGTTAAACTTCACCTTTATAAAAATGGTTTCATGCCTGATTATTATGTTTGGGTTGATCACAATGAACAAATGCCTCATGCTAAAAAAAATTTGACACATGCTTCAAGTAGGGGGTTACATTTTTCAGAAGATGAGCCATTGATGGTAATGCAGAACATGGTGTATGACACACTTAGTCAACATGAAACATTTCAACCATTAGAGTAAATATCATGGAAGAACGTCCAAATGAAGAAGCTCAAAGATTTTATGATTTGTTGTTGGAAGCGAAAAAACCTTTGTGTGAAGGTGCTTTAGACTCCAAACTGTTCATATGTGTAAGATTGTTAGCTTGCAAATCTAATTAGCATGTTCCTGATCACACTTTAAATTTCATTATAAAAATGTTTTTGGATGTAACACCCAACAAAGATAGTTTACCAAAAAAACTATTATAATGTGAAGAGGTTAGTTTCAAAGCTGGGATTGGAGGCTAAAAGGATCGATTGTTGTGTTAATGGTGGTATGCTTTTTTATGACAATGATTATGGGAAGAATGATGGAGCTTTACTACAATGCAAATTTTGTCTTAAGCCAAAGTATCATACCCCAAAAGTTGAAACTAGTAAAAATAAACCAATTCTGATTAAGAGCATGTTCTAAGGGAAAAAAATAATAATTAATAATGGTGTGCATGTAAAAGGTCTTACACAAGGAAGTGAAGATGATTTTTATGGCATCATTCAACACATATATGAGCTGCAATATAATACTTCAACCTCCCCGAAGAAAGTGATGGTATTTTATTGTGAATAGTTTGATCCATCACATAGAGGTATATTAGTGGATCATAAATATGGAACTATAGACATTTGCATGGATAAAAGGTATTTACCATTTGATCCTTTTATCTTGGCACATAATGTTAGACAAGTATATTATATCCCATATCCGAGATCAAGAAAGGACAAACACGGGTGGTATGTTGCTATAAAAACGAAGCCTAGAGGTTGCATAGAATCTCAAGACATGGAAGATGATGTTCCTTACCAAATGGATGAAATGTCCCATGTAAAAGAAGAAGAAGAAGATTCGTGTAGTTAAAAAATTGTTCTTTATGAGTTAATTTTTATATTCAACATGATGTAATTGAGAAAATGTTCATTATGTAGTTGAAAAAATGTTTTCTATGAGTTAATTTTTCTATTCCATATTATGTATGATGTTACTTCTTTGCATAATTGACTATATAAATTTCCTATGTACAAATATGTCATCAGGAGGGTGTGACTCACCCCAACCTCCGATGTCTCATCCCAATAAGGGGAAAAAAGTAATGAAACAAAAAAGATCACGTTATATACTTAAAGTAAATGTCTTTCCCCACCCGTAGCTCCTGCACCTATACCTTCTTCATCTGCAGGTGCTGAGAATATACATGTCCATACAAAAAATATTGCACCTACAACCACTTCTGTAGTCTATCACTTGTCATTGCATCAACACCTTCCCCAGGAGCTACATTGCCTTCAGTATCATCAGTACCATCACCACTACCTTTAGTCTCACCTACATTACCCTTAAGATCTCTAGCACTATCACAATTATCAGTGCTTTCTAGAGTCCATCATACACCAGCTGGGGAAGACTAAGAACTACATATTCAGGAAGGTGATACACAATCAGACATTGAGGATGATCATCCACTTGGCACTAATCTTCCTATCATATCACCTTATGGTCTAGGGTAAGAATTAAGTTAAAATTATATCATTCCCATTATTTGCATGTATTAGGAAATTGTGTTATAATTATTTAATTTAATTCTTTGGCGAAGGTTCCATCCATGTTGGGTTGCATCACAAGCTATAACAATGACTATTAAGCAACAATATTCTAAGTCATGGCTGACATGGGGTTCAATGATCAATGTTGAAAAAGAGACATTCTTTCAGCGGTTTAAAGTAAGTTTTCTTATATTTAGGCTGATGAATTATTTTTATTACTTACATTCATTGACACAATTATTATTATTTGTTTGTTTATGTCAATCATTTGCAAAGAGAAAGGTCACCTGGAGACCTGAAGATGAGGACAAGATTCGAAAGAATTTTCACTCAAAGGCTTCACATAGGCTATCTGAAATGTTCAAAGATGCTAGAAGGGCAGGAAAGAAGCCATATTGGATGTTTGATG